ATTGTTTGTAAAAATTTAAATCTAGCAAAATTCAAAAAAGTTAATAAGAATCTGAGAATTCAAACTAATTTTTAGGGGGTCGCGGACCATCGGAAAAATTGCGCCGCGCTAATTAGAATTTTGGAACATTGACATAAATAAATTATGCTTTCGAATTTACTTAATAACAATTATTAAAATATGCTAAAAACAATACAAAACGTAATTAAATACTCGTATAATTAAATCAACAATTAAAATTACCTACACACTCACATAAATTTTAGAAAAGTGTCGACCATTTTTTCTGACGCATAAAGCACATAGCACATTTTTGTATACTTACTACATATTGTTGATTGTTCAAAATTTGTCATTTTTTTAAATTATTAGATTTTTTATTCTTCCAAATTTTATAATTTTTGTATGAACTTAATTCTACATTTACATTTTTTTAGATACACGTATACACCGTACTGGATTTATTTTAATTCTGAATTTTCAATTTTCTTGTTCGATTTTTGCGTTAAATTTTTTTGAATTAATTGAATTTTTTAATTTGCAAATTTGTCGTAACTTAGTTTTCTGCATTTTCTAAATTTGGCACGAAATTGTTTGCAAAAATTCAAAAAGTTAATAAAAACCCAAGAATTCAAAAATTCTGAAGATTCCAAAAATTGAAAAATCTTATTTTTCGAATTTTTCTGAATTTTAAATTCTTGCGGAATTTTTTTTAATTATTCGAAATGTTAGTAGTGGTACATAAATTCAGACAATTTGAAGCTCGAGTACCTCTCAGAACCGCAAAATGTAATGGCATTTCCCTACCTGTCCGTATTTTGCGCATACTGGAAAGTGCTATTGATCTGAAACGGTGATAAATCTGGGACATTGTAATAAGCGAGCTTTGATTTATGCAAGTAAAATAGGACGATGGATAGCACTTGAATTCTGGTAAACAATCGATCCCTTCAAATCCGAACAAGGTTGAAACGAAGTTAGTATATTAATTGGGTGGTCGGAAACGCACGTGTACCTATCTCAAAGGGATGCTAATTGATCACGATAGGCACTTGATTCCGTAATTGCCGAGGCCTTCGCATTGTTTTCAAAGCCTTGAGCGTTCCATAAAATAGAAAGTAATTGGGGCTTCCGTTTGATATTTCCTTTGACGTTCCTTTCGAATCGCAATGTGGTGCATCGCGACCAAAGTGGCGCACAAATGCATTTGCGGGAAGCAACAATAAAGTGACAAGTGAAACCAATTAAACAATGAAACCGCTCTACTAACCATAACGTCCATGACCTATCCGATTAGCTGCACTTGTTATGAGCAAATCGGTTTTCTTTTGCGCAAATGTGCCAAATATTCCGCATCGCGTGATTGAGATTCCTACTGCCGGCGGTGTAAATTAAAATTGAACAAGAAAAGAGCTGCGGCAATTACAGAGTCGAGTGAACCGTAAAGGAAATTAGTCTTCTGTAAACAAGTACATCCACTTCCATTGTTTCAATTTTTTTTACTTCGGAAGAATTTAAATTGACCGAGTTCATTTCCTATTGACGCTACAGAAGTTGAGCAAGTGGACGTTCCGAACGAATTCGTTTTTTTCCCACGGAAATAATGAACATTCATCAGTCTTGTTGCCATCAGTTTCCCATGAGAGCCACCCCTTCGTAGATCATTTGGGACGACTTTGATTAGTTCAGAGTCACTTTTGGCCTTTTTTAGAAGGAATTGGCACCACTCTTTTCATTCAATCACGTTGGTCGTTTCCTTTTCATTCATTTCGAGCATCTACATAACCTTTGCGTTACCTTTTAGAAGGCTCTGGAGAGGAGACAGAAGGCTTTGAAGAGCTTGCAATTGTTCGGGGAAGCTCTGAAAACCACTCGATCGTGTTTGACAGATTTTCCATGGTCATTTTCAAATATAGACGAGGCCTTATCTAGTATGATCTAAAACGAAAACGTCTAGGGAAAACACCAAACGGTTCATAGGTGTGTCCCGTCCAGAACGTTTTAGGTTCCCTGTTCCCTCCAGACCTTTCCAGGGCTATACGTGGTTTTGAACATCTGGAAAGGACTCTAGGGGATGAATTTTCTAGTCTCCTAATACAAGAAGAGAAACAGTTGAAACCCGCTACTTAACCGCAACTTATTTACTCTCAATAAACCGCGTCTAAACCGGATCTAGAAAAGTGAACGGTTGATTTATTGGTATGACCTCTGTATTTCGTGACCGGAACCGAATTCTGGGCGAGCGGTAGATTTATGCCGATCTCGCTTTCGGTTCTCTCGGCATTGGTCTAAATTCGATAATATAACTCTATACCGGCCCCAAATTCGTGCCGATCTCCTCTTCGACTCGCTGGACATTGGTATGAATTCGGTATTTTGTGACCGGAACCGTATATCGGCGCCTACTTCCGTTGCGAGCGGTAGATTTCTGCATTCGTATTAACACGGTAGTATGTGACCGAAACTCAATACCGGCCCCAAATTCGCGTCAAACGGTTGATTTGTGCCGATCTTTCGCTCGACATTGGTATGGACTCGGTATGTCTCGACCGGAACTACTTCCGGGCGAGCGGTCGATTTCTGCATTCGTATTAACACGATAGTATGTGACCGAAACTCAATACCGGTCCCAAATTCGCGTCAAACGGTTGATTTGTGCCGATCTTTCGCTCGACATTGGTATGGACTCGGTATGTCTCGACCGGAACTACTTCCGGGCGAGCGGTCGATTTCTGCATTCGTATTAACACGATAGTATGTGACCGAAACTCAATACCGGTCCCAAATTCGCGTCAAACGGTTGATTTGTGCCGATCTTTCGCTCGAGATTGGTATGGAATCGGTATGTCTCGACCGGAACTATTTCCGGGCGAACGGTAGATTTCTGCATTCGTATTAACACGGTAGTATGTGACCGAAACTCCATACCGGCCCCAAATTAGCCCCAACCGGTTGATTTGTGCCGATCTTTCGCTCAGGATTGGTATGGACTCGGTATTTCTCGACCGGAATTACTTCCGGGTAAGCGGTACATTTCTGCATTCGTATTAACACGGTAGTATGTGACCGAAACTCTACACCGGCCCCAAATTCGCGTCAAACGGTTGATTTATGCCGATCTTTCGCCCGACAATGGTATGGACGCGGCATTTATCGACCGGCGCCGAATTGGCGATATCTGGGCGCCATCCCCGAGCACGTTATACTAACTTGGTGATCTTCAGTATTTTCCATCTTTTTCTACAATTTTGGTCCGATTGTTTTCAAATCGGTGTCGTCGGAAAGATCTAGTAAACGCACTCCCAAGGGCGAACTACCACCTTTTGCAAGACGCGCCTCTTTGAGGGCTAGTCGACTTTGGGCGGCCAAAAGTCTCTTAAAGCTCGAATCTCGTGTCGATAATAGAAGCTCGAGCTTTGAGAAGGGCCCCAAAAATTGCGTACTTTTTTGGGGACGGTTTTTAGCGAAATCGTGAATTGCGAGTGAACGGGACGTCGGAAGTGGGTACTGACAAATGGAATATGGTTGCTCCCGGCAAGATGTTATTGATGGTGAAATCAAAACTGACTAATAGAATACTGATCTGCCACACAAAAATGCAGTCCTTTCGATCTCACACGAGGACTTTTTTAATTTTAGAAACTAAATGTTGACGAAGTACCATTGTAGCTGAGGTTACGGTTGAACAAACGAACGGTTCATTTATGCCGAGCAAGCCGAAGGTAAGTATTCACTCGGTAGTATGTGACCAGTACTATACACTGGCCCCAAATTCACGCCGAACGATTGCGAGCTCGCCTTCGGTTCATTCGGCGTTAGTTCACGAAATATGCTGGCCGTTGGGTTCGAATAAACACTCAACTAATTGATTGACAGATACAAATTTATTCCGAAACACATTAAATGAAAAAAATTAAAACAAAATTCCTGAAAGATAGAGACGCTTACAAATTACCCCGCACGCAGGCGTTCGATAATTAAGTAAATTTTAAAAAATCTTAAAATTACATTCAATTTTTCTTTATTAATCAGCCGAATTATCTGGTCGTGAATGGTTTGCGATAAACAAGGCACACCTAATTAGACACTACAAACGCCGACCGCTTCTGGACTTCATTTGTTTGTTAATAAACTGAAATGGAAAAGATTCTCGGCGGTTGCGGGACAAACCATTGGACGACAACTTAGATCTTCTATTAAGACTCCTTAACTTCTTCGACGCCCTTTTTTTCGAAACGGACGAACTGCGCCTGCAACAAAATTCAAAAGGGCTACACGCCAGTAACTTATCGTAAACAAATGTACACGTTCTATTTACCGTCGCGAACTAACAACAGCCGCCCCATTTTTGCCTTGTCTCCCGTATTTAAGGGAACAATACTTCCAAAATAGAATAATCTCCTTCCTCCGGTATTTACAAATAAAGCGCCCATCATAATTAGATCAGATAACACCGGCTACGAAGTAACGCGTTCCCACTTAACGCCGAAAGTAATGCGCAAAACGTTGACCAGCAGCATCTTTTGTTATCAGCAGCAGAACACGTGCGTTAATTAACTTACGTCCGATAACTAGACCTCTTATCGCAAACAACCAGATGTCCCGCAATTTCACGATGTGGATTTATCACTAATAGAAAGTGCCGGATGTCTAAAACAATATATGAAACGGAACAAGGCACCTCTTAAATTTCCTAATCTGCAGCAGCATTTTAAATGGAGCGATATTAACAGAATCACTAAAATTAATGGTCTTTACATAGATTTCCTACGCCCTAATTCTTAAAAAATAAAAACCTTACGACCCAAATGAAATGACGCGGCAAAATCAACACCACTTTCAGGTCGATTATACCCAAACACATAAAATTGCGTTCTATGCGATAAACGCGATTCGTAGATGCGAAAAGAAGTCGGTCAGCACTTCTTCAATTCGGCAATTAACTTTCTAATCATAATCACGTCGTCATAAAATCCAATTAAACGCGAATTTTTTTACAGGCCGACCCAAACACCGCATTCCTACGCGCCGCCCGAGCCGGACATTTAGACAAAATACAAGAGTACCTGGATTCTGGTACGGTGCGCGACATCAACACGTCGAATGCCGTAAGTAGCTAAATCAATTTCTCCGATTACGTCGCTTGGACATTTTAATTATGTAAGAATTGAGTACGAACAGGTTGCACCATAGTTGGAGAGGGGACAACTGTTATTGCAGTAATTATTATGGATTGACACGAATTGTACTTTATTAATATTCCGATGAATGAATATCATTAATGCGAAGCACATGTTTTCACTTACGTTTTACAGAACGGTCTCAACGCCTTGCATTTGGCCGCGAAAGATGGACACCTGGAAGTCGTTCAGGACCTTTTGAAAAGGGGTGCTATAGTCGACGCGGCTACCAAAAAAGGCAACACCGCTCTACACATCGCCTCTCTTGGTACGTACGAAATGCCCCCACGTCCGCAATTAAAATTAAAATTTACAGCCGGCCAAGAAGAGGTCGTACGTTTACTCATTCATCATGGTGCTTCCATTAACGTACAGTCGCAGAACGGTTTCACGCCGCTCTATATGGCAGCTCAGGAAAATCACGACGGGTGTGTTAAGTATTTATTGTCGAAGGGTGGAAATCAGACGCTCGCAACTGAGGTACCTATTAACGTCTCGTCCTTTCGGTCGAACTAATCGGACTGCTTTAGGATGGGTTCACGCCGCTCGCGGTCGCGATGCAGCAGGGGCACGATAAGGTCGTGACCGTGCTTTTGGAAAATGACACCAGGGGGAAGGTTCGGTTACCCGCCCTTCACATTGCAGCTAAGAAGGATGACGTTAAGGCGGCAGCTTTACTTTTACAGGTTTGTTGTCCCCTGCCGAGTCGTCAATGGACCCATTTAGTAATAATCCACAATCCCGTTTTTACATTTACCCCACACGCAGATGGTCGACACATTCTTAAAATTACTTGCAGGTTTCTTTTAAGAATCTATTTAATCTGATCAAACCGCATTAATTTTTGCACGAACTTTAAACTTAACTGCTTCACCACAGACAACGTATAGAAACGTACACGCTCTTTTCCCGTCGCGAGGTGATCAGCTTCGTCTCTTCCTTATTTTTCTTATTTAACAAAACACCACCTTCACTAAACCATGATACTCCTACTTCCGCCAATTCCAATATAACACCAAATAAGGAACGTTTTAAGATGTCCCCTCGTCCACAACAAAGTTACCCGCCAAAGAAATCGTGCACCTGTATCCTGTGTTATCAGCGCCAAATAACACGTGCGTCTGGAACTAACTTTCTCGATAACAACGTTCTTATCGCGCACGACCAGATAGCACTTAAATGCACTCGACCAGATGTTCCTTAATTTTAAATAACGCAATTTTCACATCTTACAATTTAAATTAAAAAATTTAAATATATAAATTTACACGAATGATACAGCTACGTACTAACGTACACTATCGGGCCACAAAGTTACAGCCCAAAAACGATCTCGAGTATCATTCGAAATTCAGTTGTATCGCATTTTTTTCGTTAACTATTTTATCTCGCGACTTACTGACACCTCGAGCTTTCATACGCAAATAATTCGACAGGACCGTATTCAGGAACTACAAATCATCGAAAAAATTAACTAAATAATCCCCATTACAACAATGGGATAAAAGATAAGTATGTATAGAGAGTTAGGGTAAAAATGGAAATGGGGCAAAAGAGAGGAAAAGGGGTAAGAGAAGGTGCAGAGGAAGAAAGACTAGAGAGAATAGAGCAAAGAGTGAGAATGATAGGAGAGGAAAGAAAACAGGTAATGAAAATGACAGAGAAACAAGTAAAGAATATGGAGAAAGGTAAATTTCAACTAAAAAAAATTAAAATAGCTCGTAGATACTGGTAGAACTGGTGTTTTGGTAGGTTATCAAAAAATGTAGTTCTCCGTTGAAAGGGTTCTCCAAGAAAATGTGAAAACTGGATCTCTTTCAGGATGAGGCAGTCGAACTTTCTTTCCGACTCGCCCTCATACCTCTCGTGTTGACATTCGGAACGGTAAATTATAAATCGGCCGCACTAAAAACTTGGCGTATGTGCACGGGAATAAAAAGCCAAATTCCACTGCACCGAATACGCTTATTTTCCGATTATTAGGAAAAGTTTGACCGCGCCCTCTATTCGTCTTTAAATCTTTACCTCCAGTCGTTGATTACCGGGTTTTACTTGCCACTTTTTTGTTTTATTTATCGCTTCGAAATGGAGTGACTGACCGTTTGATGAAAATGGCCTTTCCCGTTTGACTTTTTCACGAGACATCTACCTACACATAGGCTCCCGTAGCTCTCGGTAAAAACAGAACTGGCAACACGGTCGAGCCCGCGCTTATCGTATCTACCCAGCCCATATTTAATTCCACACGCGCTTCGCTTATCGCCATACCTAATCGCGTCCACGTTTCCTATGAAGCGGTAAAAATGTAAATTTCCGTATGGCGAACGAAATACAATTTCAAACAAAAAATTTGAAACTGCAAAGCGAGTATTTTGCAGAACTAGAGTTTCCTGAGCCGTTTTCTACATTATTTGTGATCTTTCCGCGCTCTTACCAGAGTTTTTCTTTCCAGATTAAGCAAACTTTTCTTGGTTCGACTAGCTCTAGAAAAGATGTAAGATCTATGAAATTCGGAATAAGATCTAGAAGGGTCTTGAGAACTCGAGAAAAGACTTAAAGAATCCACGAGATACGCTTAAAAAATGGTTAGAAAACTCGGACCAGCTTGCCACAACTCCTTTCAAAGATTTCTACCCTTTTGTTGAACATTTTTGGCCAGTTTCAGACCTCTCTAGGCCATTCGCAACATTTTCTACCCCTAGATCGTGTTGCTCAGGTTCGAAAAGGGCCTAAAGGGATGTGGAAAGGCCTCGAATGCTCGTCAAAAAACAAAAAGGTGAACTGGGAAGTTCTATAGTGCACCCAGAATATTTGGAGAGGAACCCCTAAAAAAACTCGTGAGACCCTGGGAAGAGCTGTTCCTCTATGGAGGCTCCGAAGTCTTAGAGATGTTCAACGTATCCAGAATGTTTCTTCTGTTTTGCTGAAACGTCTTCTTCAATCAAAAGGATTCAACAAGTGTGGAACATATCCGGATCGCAGACTTTTGTTTCATCTCATACCCAGAAGTCTCATGTGTGATTAATTTTAAAATAATGTTGATAGTCGATTGGTGTACCTGCTTGAACCAAGAGGTTTTGAACATATCAGGAGCGCAGAAGGGTCGAATTTGATGTATTTTTGATACCATAATCTTACATGTTTAATTAATTTTAAAATAAATCAGAATCCACGGAAATGGAAGTTGGTTGGTATCTCACTAGTAGATCATTCTCTGTCTTTAAAAACAGCTGAGATAGACGTCTCGTGTTTGATGTACGCCTGATACAATTTTGGAAATATGTATTATATCATTCAGGCCCTGGAGCGAGCTAATCGTATTTCTTCATTACTATAATATCACCTCTTTGGGCCCCTGAACAATTGCCTGTACACTAACTAGCCACCTACTTCATATTAACCTAAAAATTTTACTAAATGGGCCATTGGACGACTGAGAGCACTCAACAGTCTCCCCTTTCGACGCGAATAAAATAAAAAATTGCAGAATGATCACAATCCCGACGTAACCTCAAAGAGCGGCTTCACTCCCTTACACATAGCAGCTCATTACGGCAACGACAAAGTGGCCTCGTTGCTGCACGACAAGGGCGCCGATGTTAACTACACCGCCAAGCACAGCATAACTCCGCTACACGTCGCCAGCAAGTGGGGAAAAATAAACATGGTGTCACTACTGGTGGCGAAGGGGGCGAATATTCAGGCGAAAACGCGCGACGGTCTGACGCCTTTGCATTGCGCAGCGAGGTCCGGTCACGATCAAGTCGTCGACATGCTCCTCGAGAATGGCGCTCCGATGCACGCCAAGACCAAGGTACCGAAACTCGTCACCTCAGTCCAATTCCTAACCGAGCTTTGTCTACAGAATGGTTTGGCACCCCTACACATGGCGGCTCAGGGCGAGCACGTGGACGCCGCCCGAATTTTGCTGTATCACGGCGCGCCGGTCGACGAGGTCACCGTCGACTATTTGACGGCGCTGCACGTCGCGGCGCACTGCGGTCACATCCGCGTCGCGAAGCTGCTGCTCGACCGACAGGCGGATCCGAACGCGCGCGCCCTCAACGGCTTCACCCCGCTACACATCGCCTGCAAGAAGAATCGCATCAAGATGGTCGAGCTGCTTTTAAAACACGGAGCTAGTATGTAAGTTCAGTTGTAGGGTAGCCGTTTGCATAAATCGAACGCGTAGGTATCGGCGCGACGACGGAGAGCGGACTGACGCCGCTGCACGTCGCCAGCTTCATGGGATGCATGAACATCGTCATCTACCTGCTGCAGCACGAGGCGAATCCCGACGTTCCGACCGTTAGGGGCGAGAGCTCGTTACATTTGGCGGCGAGAGCGAATCAGACGGACATAATTAGAATTTTGTTACGTAACGGCGCAGCTGTCGACGCGAAAGCCCGAGAGGAGCAGACGCCGCTACACGTTGCGGCGCGACTAGGAAATGTCGACATCGTTATGCTTTTACTGCAGCACGGCGCGAATCCTCACGCGAGCACCAAAGATCTGTACACACCCCTGCATATAGCCGCCAAGGAGGGGCAAGAGGAGGTATGTTACTGTAGTAGTAGGCCTTTTATAGTTTTGGGTTGATCCTAGGTGGCGTTCGCGCTGCTGGATAACGGCGCGGATTTATCCGCGACAACCAAGAAGGGCTTCACGCCTCTGCACTTGGCGGCGAAATACGGACATTTAAACGTCGCCCGTCTTTTACTGCAGCGCGACGCTCCCGCCGACACGCAAGGGAAGAACGGCGTCACACCTCTACATGTCGCCGCGCACTACGATCACCAACCGATCGCGCTCCTTCTGCTCGATAAGGGCGCGTCTCCGCACGCGGTGGCGAAGAACGGCCACACCCCGCTGCACATCGCCGCACGGAAGAATCAGGTACGTTCGCCGCCTTGGAACACCGCCTGAACTAACCTTTAATTGTAGATGGACATCGCTACGACTCTTTTGGAATATGGAGCGCAGCCCGACGCCGAATCTAAGGCCGGGTTTACGCCTTTGCACTTGAGCGCGCAGGAGGGCCACTCCGATATGTCATCGCTATTGTTGGAGCATCATGTTAATCCCAGTCACGCGGCGAAGGTGAGACTAAAAAATGTTGATACCCTTGAGTCCTTCAAAACTCTTGAGATGCTTGAAACTCTTAAGACCCTTTTGGGATTTTTGCCACACCTAGTACTATTCAAACGTTTCAGACTCGTGCAGCCCTTGAGATTCACATTTGGAAATTCTTGGGAATATTGCGATCTTTATCAGGGCAGATTTGAGAATCGAGAACGCGAAGATTTTCAGGCGTTTGAGGCCTCTTACTTTTAAAAGTTGTGAGACTCTTGAGACATTTTTTAAGATTTTTCAGTTACTCAAAACTGTTAGCCTTTTAGGTATCTTTGATACCCATAAGATCATTGGTGGTACTCTTGAGTCTCTCAAAATCCTCAGACCCTTGGGCTTTGCTGATATTTGCAACCCTTGGTACTCCTGAAACATGAAAGACATTTGAGTCTAACCCCTTGAGGCTCATAATGAAAAGTAATGTCCTTTAACTCTGTAACTATTGAGGTCCACCACACTTTTCAGACTATTTTGATTAAGGTCTCACAGGTGTCGCTGCTGGTACTCAAAACGGGGACGATGAAACACCTGAAACTCCTTTGGTCTTTTGAGACCTCTGAAATTATCTACAGGGTGGCCAAATAAGAATGCGCGGTACTGTATCTGGGAACCTGTCCATCGTAGAGACTTGCAGTAAAAAAGTTATTACTAAAACGGCCACGATAAAAACCTGGAAAATATTATTAAGTTTCTGAAATGGCCCCTATGGGTCGTAACTGCAATCTGGAATCTAAAAAAGTGATGTTTCTGTAAATTCCGCTATATTAACCTAAGAAAAAAATGTCAACTCTTTGAAGACGACGATAATCTGAACCGTTTTTGTTTGACAATATTTCCTGTATCTCTAAAAATGAAATGGTGGGGGGTATTCAAAGGTTTCCTTAAAGAACACTGTATCCTCGAAACGGCTGAGCCGATTTTAACAAACTCGGGTTAATTGAAAAGAGTTATTGTTCGGCTACAAATATTATAATATTTGAAGTTTTGTTAGTTTCACATATCGCCGCTTGAGGGCTTTTTTCGACATTCTGACAAAAAAGGTTAATTTTCTCAAAAAAATTAAATGCGTTGGTTTCATTTTTTTTCATGAAAAAATAGCTAAATGATGCCTAAACAAGCTCGCGAAAACCGCGTCTCGATATCTTGTTCTTAACCTAAAATTTAGGCCAAAGAAAATTTTATACCCTCAAAATTTTATTTTTTTAAGCTTATTTTTCCGGAATTATTTTTATTGTATAATTTCTGGCCCTAAGGTGGATCGATTTAAAAAAGGAAGCTTTTAATGCCGCCGTAAATTCTCGAAATGCTGACCATCACTATATCTTTCTAATGTCATATATATATCTCAAGATATCAAGATGCTCTTTTCGCTAGCTTGTTTAGGCATCATTTAGCTACTTTTTCACGAAAAAAAAATCGAACCAATGCATTTAATTTTTTTGAGAAAATTATTTAATTTTTTTGAGAAAATTAACCATTTCTGTCGGAATGTCGAAAAAAACCCTCAAGCGGCGATATGTGAAACTAACAAAACTTGAAATATTATAATATTTGTAGCTGAAGAATAGCTCTTTTGAACTAACCCGAGCTTGTTTAATTCGGCTCAGCCGTTTCGAAGATACAGGGTGTTCTTTACGGATACCTTTGAATACCCCTCACCACTTCATTTTTAGAGGTACAGGAAAAATTGTCAAACAAAAAAGGTTCAGATTATCGTCGTCTTCAAAGACCTGGCATTTTTTGTTAGGTTAATATAGCGGAATTCACAGAAACATCACTTTTTTAAATTCCAGATTGCAGTTACGCCCCCTAACGGCCATTTCAAAAACTTAAAAATATTTTCCAGGTTTTGCTCGTGGCCATTTTAGTAATAACTTTTTTTACCGCAAGCCTCTACGATGGATAGGTTCTCAGATACAGAGCCAAACCCTTCTACTTTTGACGCACTTTAGAACCTTCAGACCTTTAAGACTTTCGAAGCTCTTAAAATTCTTGAATTATTTAGAACTTTTAGTCTTTTTGGAATCTTGAGAAGCTCCAGACTCACCTTGAGGTGTTTAGACTCATCAGATCTTTCAGATCCATAAGGTTATGGCACTCTTGAGACTTTTGAACTTTTGAAACCCTTGATACTCCTGAGACACTAGTATGCTTGACACATTCCTGAGGCATTTGGGACCCTGGAGACTCTTGACTGACACTGTTGAGGGCGATTGAAACTCATGGGAGTTTTAAAATTGTTACGATTCCTATAATTCTTTAAAAACTTGAAGATCCTGGGGCTTTTGAAATTATTGCCTCTTGACATTGATATCTTTGAGCCTCGTGTGAGATTCTTGAGATCCTTCAAGGTATAGACTGCTAATACTCTTCTAAAGACAACTTTGAGACTATTGAAACCCTTAAAACTATTCGGCGTCTCTTGACATTCTTGGGATCTTTAGCTCTTTAATTTTTGAGACACCAGAGATACTACTTCCTACTTCAAGACCCTTTCAACTATTCAAAAAATTGTGACCATTGTGCCGCTTGAGACACTTAAAAGAATCTCAAGTCTCTTGACACTCTTAAGAGTCGTGAGATCCCTTTCCGACACTAGAGAACCTTGTAACCCTTAACACTCTTGACTATTGTGCCACTTGAAACTCTCAACGTCATTAAAACTATTGAGTATCTTGATAGTTTGACCTCTTGACCCGTAAAACTCATTAGATCCTTGAAATTGTAGGGATAGTTGTGGGTTTGAGACTTTCCACGTCGTAAGATTCTTTGAGACGCTTGAAATCCTTGAGACTCAAGACTTTTGAGACAGGTGAGGCTCCTGACACTTTTGATGATATCAGAGAGAACATAATACTCAAAAACCTGTGTTCCAAATTTCGGCCCCCTCTTTCACCGAACTTTTTTTGACATTTCTACACCCTGTATATGTAGGTCTTGTAGGCTCAATAATAATAATACCACTTACCCTTTATGAGTACCCTCTTCCGACACTTCATTTTCGAGATATTCTTATATTATTTTTAATTGGTACTCAATACCAAGTTTGATTTGACAATTACGTAACTGGTAGTATATGTCAATTGTAATGAACATTAAGTTTTGATTGACAATTTTTAGGTGATAAATTGAAAAATGTAAAAAACCATCCTAGTTGTCTTACAGATTATGTTAGTTCTTATTTGACACATATGTCAATTCGCAGATCCGAAGTTTCAATTGACAAAGTGCGTATCTGCGCGATGACAATACATGTCAAGTTTCGATTGACAGTTTTAGTTAAGTGTCAATTGTCAAACACTAATAAGTGTCAATTGAAAAATACTAAGAATGTAAAAGAGTCTATACAAAATGTCCTAGTCATCTTTGCAGTTATATTAGTTGTCAATTGACACAGTTTGTCTTTTTAGCATAATTGTTTAATTTCCCATTTCCTTTGTCTTCATTTGGATCATAAGTAAATTGACAAATATAGGGTATTAAACAAAACTATGCCGATGATCTTTCAAATGATACTAGTTGTCAATCGACACAAGTGTCTTTTTAGCATAATTTTTCTCATTTTTTACCATCCGCACGTTAGTAAAGGGTTGCATTAGGGTAAAAAGTGAATTCCCTACTTTTCTTTACACGTTGTTATACACCAGGAATCCGAATCAAACAAAATCTCAATGATGTCGGTCTGTCATGCGCAGGTGTGTGGTTGGTCTCTGTGCTAGCCACAGCCATTTTTTTTTTCATTTGGACCATACGTTACTGTCATTGTTGGAATCCTTCATTTGTTTCTCCCAACTCTGTTTTTAATCTCTCTTTTCGGATCATATTTGTCATAAGTGACGCATGACTCCGTTTTTGTACTTGCCAAATAGTCAAGTAATCGACTAATTAGCCAAATGTTTGGCAACTACTTTAAATCCATATTAATGTACAGAACGGATTGACACCCCTCCACCTCTGCGCCCAAGAAGATCGCGTCCCCGTCGCCCAGCTACTGCTGCGCGCCGGCGCGCCGTCCGACTCGCGCACCAAATCCAACTACACCCCGCTTCACGTCGCCTGCCACAACGGTCACGTCAACATGGTTCGGCTGTTAATCGAGCACGGGGCCGAGGTGAACCCCACCACGACATCGGGTTACACGCCGCTCCACCAGGCGGCGCAGCAGGGTCACGTTCTCGTCATTAACCTACTGCTGAAAAACCGGGCGGATCCCAACGCTGTTACTAATGTAAGTAATTCGCCCGTCGCGATTAGAAATTACACCGATATCTTCCATTTCTAGAATGGACAAACTGCGCTAGGCATCGCCAATAAGCTTGGGTATATAAGTGTCGTGGAGGAGCTAAAGGTCGTCACGGAAACGAACATAACCACCACCACTACGATTAACATAGAGGAAAAGTATAAGGTTGTCGCACCTGAAGCTATGCAAGAGACGTTTATGTCTGACTCTGAAGATGAAGGAGGTTTGTTACTTTGATTACATCGCATTTGACATTGAATGCTGAACCTGTCTGATGTGTGGATCTCAGGTCATAAAGATGTCAAATCGCAATTGTCAAAATTCCTTTAATTTAAAAAAATTGCCGGAGTTGAAACCGTGAAAAATTTGAAAAAAACAATTTCTGAATTGAATTTTGAGTAAATTAAAAGTTTGGTTATTTCCCTCAAATTTCAAAATTCGTAGAAAAGCCTGACAGCTGTCACATTTGTTGCATGTGTTTGCAAATTAAAATAATTTTTTTGAAATTGTTCGCGTAATGATGCAAAAATCTGAAATTTTGAATTTGCAAAAAAAATTTATCAATGTGAAAAAAATATTTCTCTTACAATTTAACAAAGATCAAAATTACCGGTGTAAGAATTTCTAGATTGTGAGAATGCTGAAAAAATAAAACTTTTTCGAAATCAAAACAAAAAATTTGGAGGTATGAGAATTTTGGTTGCCAGAGTTAAAATGTTGAAATTTAAAAACTAGGTATACATATATCCCTTTTTGAAACTTTGTTACCCCAAATTCTAAATTTTGAATTTGCAAATAAAAGTAAAAAATATATTTTATATGCAATTTAAAAAAAAAAAGAAAAATTAATGATGGAGTTTAGATTTTGTAAACTATGATGAATTAAAAAATCATTTTTTTAAATGTAGAATACTTAAATCGTTCGTTGAAGAAAATGTGACAATTATAATAAACGAAAATGTTGAATTTTGAAAAAGGTCAATTCAAAATTGACAACTTTAAAGAAAAAAATTTACAATTTTTTAGCAGTGATGAATGCAAAAATCTCTAATAGTATAGAGTTCAGAAATCAAAAATATAGGATTTTTAGACTGATAAATTCAAAAACAATACTTTCTTTAAAAATTTGGAATGCTGAAAAGTTTCTCTTTGAAATTTTTTTATCTTTTAGAATGAAGTAGAGGTCACTAATTCATTTACAATTAAAAAATCAAAATTACTCATGGTATTTAGAAGTTATAAACTGTGATAATCAAAAATCATTCTTTCTTTAAAAAATTTGAAAAATCCCTACACCCTACTACTTCGTTTGACCCCCACTACTAATCCAAATTAAAAAGGTAGATATTGCAAGCGGCATTAATTATGCTGATGACATGTTAATGTGATGGTAATACCGGTTCTGTTATGGTAATTAACACCTACTTAGTCAGACAACAAAAAACTTACGTAATGTAGTTGTTACAATTTAAAAAAAAAATCATTTGTGGTTGTGTTGCAAGCAGGCATTGTGGATGAGCCCATTGTGGTTTACGGTCGTCCCGTGCATGCTCAGCATGTGTACATGCCCTTCTATCAGGGAAATATGAATTACACAAGTAAGTTTCTCAAATACGTTCATTAATGCACGACTCCACAGACACGTATCTCCTTTTTGAAACGTTGATTTCACAGTGCAAACAAACACACTCAATTTTTAAGGTGCACTCGAACACACACACACAAAAATAGTTAGGAATCCAGGAGGTTTATGTTTCAGAATATGCTTTAAAATAGGAACTTTACGTTTGATTCATCTTTCGACATTTCTTAGATGATACATGAAAAATGGACACCGTGTATATGGTGAAGAACGGAAATTGGTCGATTAGGCTTGGTAGATCAACCCCAGACCGAACCCCGCCCACTAAACACACGAACGGGTGGATAATAATTATTTTTGCTATTTAGGCACATTCAAAAATTGAGAAATCATTTTTTTTTTTGTCTTATTTTTGAGTGGGCGGGGTTTCGACCAAGGCAAGAATGATTCTTCCGAGAATCTAGAAGCTTTTTCAGAGATATACGTCTGCAGATTCGGGAACAAAGTGAAGAATCTGTAGAATTTGAAATTGAAGAAGATGAAGAATAAAAGATTTTAGAAACGTCATAAATTTGATAAATGCAAAATTTTGAAGAATCTGAAGAAACAGACGCATCCAAAGAACTGAAAGAAGCGGAAACCAATACGAACAATCTGAAGAAGCCATAGCCATATAATGTATTGGAAAATTTTGAAGAATCAGAGAAATTCTGAAAACCAGAAAAACCTGAGGAATCGAAGAAAAGGAAGAACGGGAAGTTTCACTAGCATTTTTAAAGATAATTCAAGATTTTGAACTTGAATTTTCTACAGAAGAAACTAAGGGTTGCAAAAATTTAACGATTAGCGTTGAAAATACCAAAAGATCCCCTCTAAATCACGTTCGTATCTTTTACAAAATACCCGTATACCAAAAGAGAGGCTGAAAAATCTGTATCACCCAACTAACTAATATCAAAGCGCTCTAAAATTAAAACTTCTTTAATTAATTGCTCATCTTAAACATCTTGATAAAGTAGCGCGCTTCCAATGACACTAAACACAGCCTAATCAGCTGCCGTTGGCTGCTACCTATTATTGTGCTTACGTCATTGGCCGGATTGAAATTCCGTTAGTCCAGTTAACATACGCTGTATGGCGTTGCTTGTCTTAATTCTGGATTTAAATTAGCATTGTGAAATTTAAATCGGAAAAACGGAAATCATAAAATATTAATTTAAACACAGGAATTACAAAACTGACAAATTACAGATACTGATAAGTATCAGTTTTGAACAACAGGAAGATTTGCAAGAAACTGAAGAATACGAAAAGCTTTTAGAACATAAAGAATTTTTAAAGATTTGAAGAATCAAATTCAAAGAATCTGAAAAATTTCATTTTGGAAGAAGTAACGGTGGAGACCATTGAAGTCACAGAAGAATGTGATGGACTTATCGTACTTTTGGAAAAATGAAAGATTTTGAAAAATCTCAAACATTTGAATCTGTAGAATCTACGGAATTTGATAGATTGGAAGAATTGGAAAAAATTTGGAAACTTTTAACTCGGAAAAATTCGAATAATTGGCATAAACTTCTCTGGGGACTTCAGAGACTCTTAAGAGATTTTTCAACGATTTGTCAGAAAAATTTGATAGATTGTGACGAACTTTGAGGGGGGGGGGGGGGGAGCCCGCTCACAAATGGCGTTAAACAATATAATTAGTGGATACAAGATTAAAGTTTAATTAAAAACATTACAAATGATTGGAATTAAACCACACCAGCTGGCGAAAATAGCGGCAACCAGCATGTGATGTCTACGGAAAGGACGAACGGACTCGAGCGCCACCAGAAGATTAAATCCTTGCTTCAGGCCAAGGTGGGCGGTTTCAGAACGGTCTTGGAGGTATGTCACAATCGGCAGCCACAGGCGGTCAATTGAAGAAACGGTTTAGTCTAGAATTCGGCAAGCGGTTACGTCCAGGGAAGCGACTAAAACATAGTTACAGCACACGTACCCGGTGCAGATTTCCCTAACGGGAACTCAAGCAACAGAGCATAAATTAATTAGCAGTATCTACGTGAAATCAAATGCAGGAAAAGCGAAAATTCTCAATGCACGCAAGCACAGCGAAATTGCCAAAAAGATGGTCCCCCTGAATCGTGCTGTTATACCTCATATGAACTTCCCAAAATGCGGAGAGGGAACGTCGAATATTCCGACTCCGCCTCTTCCTGACATGATAAAAATTTGGGACTGTTCTTAAAATTTGTCTTAATTAAGCGCGCATCTGGCAATTCATCTGTGGTAACATAATTAATTACCGATAGTTAATTATACTGACCTAAATGTTATCATGAAATTTCTAAATTCATAATTCTGATTAACATCCATTGCCTCTTGAAATTTCCCATGCAATGAGGGCAGTCGATGCTACAACAACAATTTTCATATCTCTATGGCAACAACTAGTTTCCTTTATCAGCAATTACACGGCTCTACAAATTAAAACATTACTTTTACCTTCTATTTCTCACTCCTAGAAGAAATAAATAAATCTGGAAGCTACGGTTTCTTAGTAACGACCGCCCAATTATTTGTCCATATATACCGGGTGGTCAGTAAAGCTGGTAGCGGTCATATATACAGTGTGTTCAAAAATTCTGGTATGAAATCTGAGTGCCTGAAGTATCTTACATTTTCGAAGAATGTCTCAGAATCTGCAGAACCTCTGGGAAAGCTCTGAAGAATATGAAAAGTGTCCTACGAAGCAATCAATAAGAATGTGAAGTACCTAACCGGTAAGATCGGATGGAGCTATAGAATCTAAAGAAGAATAAATTGAAAAACTGTAAGAATTGAAGAAACAGATGAATCTAAAACATTCACGGAAACTGAAGATTTCGAAGAACCTAATGAATCTGTAGATTGGGAGCAAATTCAGAGACCCAGGCAGAGTAGAGGTATGACCCACCCATTCTACCTTTATTCTACCTAGGTCCCTCGTTTTAAAACTTACGTTTGAATCTTCTTCTTCAGATCGTTCGGCACAAACCTAGGCAGTGTAGAGGTATGACTTACCCCATCATACCTTTACTCTGCCTAGGTTGATGCCGAATTTGCCTTCGGCTCGCTCGACACTCGGCGCAAAACCTAGGCAGCGTAAAGGTATGATGGGGTATCATGCCTCTACTCTGCCTAGGTTTGTTTAAAAGCCATTTTTGAATTCCTTCGGATCGTTCGGCATTAAAGTAGGCATTTTACTCAACTTCCACACAAGTAATAGTTTTAAAAACAAGGCGAGTTCGGCACAAACCTAGGCAGAGTAGAGGTATGACTTACCATATCATACCTCTACTCTGCCTAGGTTTGTGCCGTCAACTTCCACGCAAAAGTAATAGTTTTGAAACCCAGGCAGAGTAGAGGTATGACTCACCCCATCCTACCTTTACTCTGCCTAGGTGCCTCGTTTTAAAACTCACTTTTGAATACCTTCGGATCGTTTGGCACACACCTAGGCAGTATGACTTGCCCTATCATACCTTTACTCTGCATAGGTTTTGTGCCGAACTTACCTTTGACTCGCTCGACACTCAAGTGACCTAGGCACAGTAAAGGTATGATGGGGTATGTCATGCCTCTACTCTGCCCAGGTTTATTTAAAAGTAATATTTGAATTCCATCAGATCGTTCGGCATTAAAGTCAACTTCCACCCAAAAGTGATTAAAATTTTAAAAATAGTGGGGAGCGAGCCAAAGGCGAGTTGGGCACAAACCTAGGCAGAGTAGAGGTTTGACTTACCATATCATACCTCACTCTGCCTAGGTTTGTGCCGTTAACTTCTACGCAAAAGTGATAGTTTTAAAACCAGTGCCAGTTCGGCACAAACCTATGCAGAGTGAAGGTATGAACGGTGAAAGATTCTTTGGAGCATTTTTAAAATCTCTATATAGCTTCCAGAACGGTATGTAAATTCTTTGATTGTTTTGAACGGCCTTCAAAATCCTAAATCCTAATCCTCTGGTAGGTGTTCTGATTGTTGTAGAAAGATCAAATAAAGTTCTGGAGAGGATCTATCCAGTTCAGGCATGGCTCTGGAAGACTCTGATCGACCTTGAAAAGTTATAGGTTGTTTTGAAAAGTGCATTAAAGAACTGCTTTCCGCTGTTGTTAAGTGTTTTTATATTCGGGAAGGATTTCCAGGGTCTTGGCTTGGTCTTGAAACGCTCTGGAAGAGCCTGAAGAGTTATACAAAAGCTCTGGGACAATTTAGACTACTTTCCATTGTTCTAAGTGTTTTTATACTTGGCCTCATAGCACTGAAAATGCTCTGAGGAGCTATTTTTGTGCTGAAATTCATTGTTTTTTGCGCTTACCAGTACTTTTTAGCATGCAGCCCTCCATAAAATCGATTCCCCAATGAAAAATAAATCAAAAATATGTCCTATTTTAAAGCATACTTTGATGCGAAATTTTTCTCACTTTCTGTACTTGGATTCCAATTTTCAGCTGGCCCGGGACAGGCTTTTAATTTAATAGCACAACAATAGTAGACTAATACACATCCAAAACTATAAGTACACATTAATTAATGACACAAATTAATCAAACAACTTTATTGGGTTTATCACAAGTATAACCCACTTGTCATTTCTTTCGTTACGTTTTTTTTTCTCCTCTCCTATTTATTTATCTAACTCTAATTAAGGAACGCGTGATAAGAGCGGTTTTGTTATCAGCGCGTATGAATGACTCAGTAATGTGAGGTCGAACGTAAATTTCGTACTATAGCTCTCGATCGCGCAGGTGAAGATCCCATTTTGGGCGATCAGCAGCAGTACAAGTACATGACGATGGACGATATGAAATCTTTGGCGGACGACGGGCGAATGGACGTCACCAACGATGAGAAGAGCGATAACAGAATTTCGATGGGTACGTAAAACTTGTAGGTTAATTTCGATGGTTTGAACGCGACTCTCTCGACAGCTCCTTCGAGTATAAGCGACTACATGACTACGGCACAGGCGAACCAGTACTACGCGGCGAAAGCCAAGCAGTACCAGACGGAGAGCACGGTCGCGGATAACGTTGACATAAATCGTCAACCGATAACGGTCGGGTGAGTGGCATTTCTTCGAACTGTACCGTTCGGTGCTTACGTAGATTGTGGCTTTGTGTTTGTTATACCGTACCGTCGCCGCCCCTTTAGTCTTGTAAGGGGCGGCGTCGGTCGCTGACAAAGTGAAGGCATTGTAGTGTGTGTGTGTTGCTTTTGCGCAGTGACGAGTGGTCTGCCCTAGAATACTATTTGAAGCAACTCGGACCGATCAGACACGGCGGCGGTTTACTCAGAGACAGGTACCAGTTTAAGAGGTGCTTCCGTACCACTCAGCACTATTTAACACCCAGTTGTATAGAATTGATCCGTTAAAACCTTTCGTGTTTGGGTTATTTCGATGCACTTTTCCGTGTCAAACCATACCAGGTGGCCAATAGTCTCGGATTGGTTGTGAGCAAAGTTTTGGGGGTCAATAACAAGGTTTGTTTGGTTGACTTCATATATTTTTGAATTACCATGTATATAAAAAATTGCAACCAAACGTTGCAGGAATAAGTATATTTTTCATTTTGACGCGTGAAGCAGACAAGGCGGGCTTGAGGTATATATTTATGTGGCGTCTAATTAATTATATTCACTGGAAAAAGTGGTAAATATTGTTCCACAAGTGCTTCTCCATATACCTCAACAATAAATCAACGTGTAGAACGAATTGAGCAAATTTTGTGGTCATTTTACCTTTCCCTAGTTATGTTGGAAACCATGGTCGTTTATCTGCATTTTCTTGCGATGTCACAGTTTCCTATAACGTTTGCATCATAAACCAGATGATGTATTACCCGCATTTGACATTTATTTATTTATTGATTTAAAGGTATAATTCAGGTAGCCTATCGATTTTGATTTTCTTGGATTATCTAAAATTGGCGCTTTATCTGAGCACAACGTTCCCAAATTTTCTTGTCAAAAATCTACCCAAATTTTGAATGCCCCAATACCACATTATTACTTTACTACAAAATACATGACAGGAAGAAATTTGATTCGGATTAAAGGACCAAAGGACGTTGATCACTTTTGATCAAACGGCCGAAAATGTGGTATGCTACATTTATGTGTTTATGTCTTCAGCTATGCAATAGTAATAGATTGCCGTGTGCAAACGGCCACTTAATAATTCTTGGGCATGAATAGAAAAATCTGACATGAAAGCTCTATCTGGTTTCGATTAAACACGCAGTTTAAATGACAGACAACCATTTGGTCAGCAAAACATAAAAACAACAATGCTGGAAGAAAGATAAGCACTCAGCTTGTTTTTACACATACCACGCACGCAGGCGTTCGACAGACGAATAAATAAAAATCTCTTACATACAGTTATTAAATAATCCATTGACACAAACACTCTGACAGCTTTAGGAACATCAGTTCTTCTTGATAACACTTTCCGGACGGTAGAACAGTTTTCATTTTAATAAATGATAAACCTTGTCGAACAACTTGCTTGGGCGGCTCACACACATACTAACTTTTTCAGATAATAAACAACACTGTATTACAATACTGACGAAATACGTTTTCACATACACACGCTCTCAAACCGTCACGAAAAAAGAGTAAAAAAAGCCTCTTCTCCAGTATTTAAGGGAACACCTCTTCCTCCATAAAACCAACGACCCCACTTCTCCACATGAAACGCGTAATTCTTCGTAACACCTGCGTCTCCTTATTAGCAAAAGAACACGTGCGTTAATTAAACTTCGCCTGACAATAAAACCTCTAATCACAACGACCATATATATCCTCTTTGAATAACGCAAATTCGGTGTCTACTTCTAGCACCTTATCTAGATTGAACAAGACAAAAGCGATCAAATTTAAACGAAACGCATCTAACAAAATTTCTAAAAGGAAAAACAAACACGGAAATACAAATTCAAGTAAAATAAACTTTGTGTTTATTCGTAATTTGCACTTAAAAATTGAAATATATAACTTATCGAAGGTGCTGAAACCAAAATAATGACCGCGTGACGTAGTTTACACGACAACTTTACGCTCGGCTCCGGCGGTCGCGCCGCCTCGCCTCGCGCAGAACCCATAGTTTGTTACATTTTTTAAAGTACATTTTCATTGCTCTGATTTATGTAATTGCTTTATTTAATTTGATAAGACGTTTAAATTGTATGAAATTTGCAGGTGTATCTTTTGCTAAATTTCTTTATCTTCTGAGATTATTTTCGTATAAAGCTGGACGGGCGTGATACAAGTGAAATCTGTTTGATAATAGAATAATGGGTAACACGTCGTTTACGTGACAATACAAGTCAAAAAGTAAAAAATGTGGAGGTGGATCACGAAACGTTTTCTTTTGAAACGGTGTTTGAAGAAAGAAAAGGGGGCGGAGAAACGAGTACAAACACCACGTGAAGATGATGAAATCAATTTCCATCAGTAACTCAGATTGTGCAACATACTAAATTTAACATTTAGCGAGTGTACAGAGCAAATTGTGTCTGGATTGAGACAGAAAGTATTACTGACGGGACGGGGCGGGACGGACACTTTACAAAAATCGTGGCGAGACAAATTATTCGACGGAGAAAACGAGAGCACTGATGCGACAGGTAAAGTCCGAGAGTTCAGGTAGCAAATCGAAACAAGTGCGATGTTTCAATTGTGCATCCGAGGGACATTATTGCAATGAATGTCCAAAAGATGATCATGCGTGTTTCAAATGTAAATAACCGGGTCATACAAAGGACAACCGCTCAAGTGAAACCACGGGTAAAGTCAGAGAGCGCAGATGGCTAACCGAAACAAGCAGTGCGATGTTTCAATTGTGCGGGCGAGGGACATTATGCCAATGAATGTCCGAAAGATTATAATGCGTGTTTCAAACGTTAACAACCGAGTCAGAGAAGCTACCTGGCGTATGAGAAAGCGCATCCGAGGATGAAAATGAATCTGTGAGAGGAAGAGCATGCGACAGTCCAGGAAGAATCTTCCGATTTTTTGCTGTTACGAAAGAGGCATGTTGCTTAATTAAAGTAATCATAGGCCTTTGCGTAAATTTTATCAAAACAAAGAAAATACTTAGATATTTGTCTAAGATATTGCACCAGATGGTAATGGATATGCATCAACTCAATTTTTCAGTCAACTCCGTGTAAATTAAAAAAAGTAAAGTTACTTAATATAGAAAGTACCTCAATCCATTGGATTCGTGTGTTAGAGAGAGAACACATGATTTTTGCCCAAAAATGGCGGAAGTTACCAAATTCTAGTAACTTTAATGTTAGGGATTGTTCCACCTGCTTGGAGATATCTGTATATATTTTTATAAAACATGACAGTGCTATGAAGTTAGGTTATAAAAAGTTACAGCTATTCAGATTTTATTTGTCAATTTTTTTTAAGTTGGCAGCAAATTTGCCCAAAAATGGCGGATGATTGCGGTACTTTCTATATCTAGTGACTTTAAAAAAAGTGTAGGTGTGCGCCCTCTAGCGATCAACCTACGTTTCATATGCCTGTACTCAATGCAAATTTTGCTCACAAGTTTCCATGAACTATTTGGCAGCCCATCACAACTGTAGGCTTTCCAAGGTAGCTGTTCCTTTTATTAACCTTACGAACTACTCGGTTAGAAACATGCACGCCGTAGTTCCCACACGAAATATCACTTCTCTAGTTTGTTGGCCGCAATTGCAATAATCGGTGGCGTATCTATAAATTGCTCGGGCGCCAAAATCACTGGGGCACTTTCGTAAATTATTGCGTCATCATAATCTCCCAGTCTAATGGGAGGTCGTGATGCATACTGTTGTACAAATGTTTAATGTGTAAATAACTCCTTTTTTTCCATTCTTGTGTTGTGGCAACAGTTCCCCAAGCTGGAGAAAGTAAGTTCCTTGTACAGATTAGACTTTACTACGCATGTCTGTGATGTGTAAACTAAACCTGTAATCACCCTCCAAATTAAAGCACGCTTCCACAAAGATTGATGGTAGAGAAGGATGACGAACGTCTTTTATTCTGTTTAGCTTTCTGGTGTCGTTTTTGGTGGACGCGAGAGGTGGGGCTATGCGAGGATGTCGACACTCGGGCGTTCGTGTGATTGTACCGCCGCAATGCGCGGCGAGCCCCACACGCATCACCTGCCGCTACGTTCGTCCGCAGCGAATTACAAATCCGCCGCCTTTGATGGAGGGGGAGGCGCTTGCCAGTCGTGTACTCGAGCTCGGCCCGGTCGGCGCAAAATTTTTGGGGTAATTATCTCGAAACGAAAACCACCCCCGTGCATTGTTCTCGTTTCAGACCAGTCATACTCGAAGTTCCGCACTTCGCTTCGCTGCGGGGGAAGCAGCGCGAGATTATCGTGCTTCGTTCCGACAACGGAGAGACGTGGAAGGAGCACACGTTGGAGTCGAGCGAGGAGGCGATTCAAGACGTTTTAAATCACAGTTTCGAAGGAGAAGGTGATTATCGCAACCGGCCTCTTTCGGCGTTTACCGACTTTAACTTGCAGAACTTAATCAAATCGAAGATCTGCACACGAGTCGCATCACGCGGATTTTGACCAACGACTTCCCGCACTATTTCGCAATCGTCTCTCGCATTCGACAAGAAGTTCACGCGATCGGTCCGGAAGGCGGAACAGTGTCGAGTTCTGCCGTTCCGTTGGTGCAGGCTGTCTTCCCACAGAACGCGCTCACTAAAAAGATACGGGTCGGATTACAGGTACGTTAAGTTTTTTTTTACACGAGATCGCAACCAATTTTTTGTTCGAAATCTACAGGCGCAGGCGATCGAACCGGAAACAGTTGCGAAGTTGTTGGGCCACGGCGTCGCCGTATCGCCTGTGGTAACCGTCGAACCACGTCGACGCAAATTTCACAAGGCAATCATGCTTAGCATGCCAGCGCCGCGCGCACATTCCCAGGGGATGATTAATCAGTATTCTGGATCGGCACCTACCCTTCGATTGCTATGTTCAATCACAGGTAGGGGTCAATTTTGTTTAGATCCTTTAGTTCTCGAAGTGACCACTTTTCTACAGTACTGCTACGGATAAGTGTTTGTGCAAACGTCTGTTGGTGCACATAAAATTGCTAGAAATCACATTATTTTGATCTAAAATCTTTGTAATATATGGTAATGGATATGCATCCCATATTAATTACCCAATGCGAAATCAAGATTTTGCTTGCCGATCTTAATTATTAACATAGTCGTTGTTCAAGTTGACCCCCGATCCAGTTTCATTTAACCTACCAACCATTGTACCTGGATATACATTTGAACCAGGGACCCTTAACACCTTAGTCCATATTTAATATTCAAGTATTGAAGATTACGGACTTTAACGGTCTGTAAGTGCATTTGAGTCGTTAAAGGCTTTCACGTATTAAAAAAAAAACAACTGGATAAAAAGAGTCTAAACGTTAAAAACTGGCGTATGAGTAGGATTTCGAAGAGGTGCTTTAGAAATACCGCCTTTTTGGGCTGAATGGAGGCAGTTTAAAGGGCAAGCGTATAAATTGAAAAGAGCCCGTTTACTATTGTAGTTCAGAGACAGATTACTCTCTTTTGCAATTTTAATTGTGCACCAACAGGCACCACGTCTACTTAGTGTCAATAGTGCAATTTTCATACTTCAGAAGGTGCATTTTCAGAGGCTTAGTGTAACCACATCACTCACTAGCATGTGACGTTCTTACCTATAGTATATCTATGTTGTCTGTATATACTGTTGCAAAAAACGTTATTTGGTATTTATGCTTCGCAGGAACTAAATCAGGTAATTTAGTTCCATACTGGCGCTTTTACTATTGTGTTTCCAACAGATAGTTTAACATTTTTAGTTGCTTAGTGTACTTAGTATAAGGTTATACATTGAGACAATGTTCAGTAGATTTGTCTGAAATCAGTTAACTATAGGGTAATGGGTAGGCATCTCCGGTCTAAAACCGAACAGGATTCAATTTCCACTTCCTTTCGCTAGTAAAACGTCTTTTCATTAAATTTTTTTTAAATAGGAGGTCAAAATAAAGCGGTATGGGAGGATGTTACCGGCTCCACCCCGCTTTCATTCGTCAAGGATTGTGTGTCGTTTACGACGACAGTATCGGCAAGATTCTGGCTTATGGACTGTCGAAACGTGTCCGAATCTGCGCGTATGGCAACTGAATTATACACTCATGTAAGTTCGTCTGTTGTTTACCGAGTTGGTAATTGATTTGAATAAACAGCACGCTCACGTACCTTTCATGGCGAAGTTTGTGGTGTTCGCGAAACGGATAAGCGTATTGGAGGCACGGGTTAGAGTCTTCTGCATGACCGACGATAAGGAAGAGAAAACTTTAGAACACCAAGAGCAATTCACTGAAATAGCCAAGAGTCGCGATATCGAAGTATTGGAAGGAAAAGATATTTATATGGAATTTTCCGGAAACTTAGTGCCAATCTTGCAGTCGGACGACCAACCCAAATTCTGCTTTCAGGCGTTTAGAGAAAATCGTTTAGCTTTCACCATGCGACTTAGAGACGCCGTAAGTTTCCCGCAACGATTATTAAGTCAAATTTAATTTGCGTATTTAGGATGACGAGGCGACAACTCGCATAGTTTTCAAAAGCGATCCTAAGGTGGCGCGAGGGGAACCGACCCAAATACCTTTGTGCACGCTTAACTTAGTCTTGCCAAAGGATGTGTGTCCCGATCGCAGTTCCCAGTCGGATTTGCTCTCCCTAGAGAAGGACCACAGCTACCTACATCATGGTGGAATAAGTACGTACACTTTATAGCTTTTCTAAAACACAACTTTGAAATTTCAATATGTATACAAAATATCGTATACCAATGGCAAAGGATAGGAGTCCTTCAATCTAAAAAATTTGCTGACGATTCACGATTTGTGATAAAATTTGTACTTTAATAATTGTCAATTTTTCAGTCCTGAATTGTCCATTTGCGGATATCGATTCATATATCGAAAATATTTCCCACCAATGACAAAGGATAGGAGTCACGATTTATCATGAACTTTTTACCACCAAAATGTCAACAACTTGTGAGTTCTTTTTCAATTTATCGAGTTTCTCAATGCGGATATTGATTCATGTATCAAAAATATCGATAATCAGTGGTAAAGGATAAGAGTCACAATTTGTGATGAAATGCTTTAATAATTCTCTTTGACAAGCTCCAAACTGTTGATAGATTGTTAGTTCTCTCTCTGTTGAATTTTTTAGTGGTAATATCGATTCGTATATCAAAAATACCGTTCATGTGTGGCAAAGGATATGAATCATGATAAAATTTCTGCTTTAATAATTCCCCTTGAGAAGTCCCAAACTGTTGAAATTTGTCAGTCCTTATCCAATCCGTCCAGTTTTTCAATGCGGATACCGATTCATGTATCAAAAATATCGACTATCAGTGGTAACAGATAACAATCACGATTTGTGATGAAATGCTTTAATAATTCTCTTTGACAAGCTCCAAACTGTTGATAGATTGTTAGTTCTCTCTCTGTTGAATTTGTTAGTGCTACTATCGATTCGTATATCAAAAATACCGTTCATGTGTGGCAAAGGATATGAATCATGATAAAATTTCTGCTTTATTAATTCTCCTTGACAAGTCCCAAACTGTTTCAATTTGTCAGTCCTTATCCAATCCGTCCAGTTTTTCAATGTGGATATCAATTCATGTATCAAAAATATCACTCTTCAATGGTAAAGAAAGATAACAATCCGATTTGATGATGAAAATGCTTTTAATTCTCTTTGGCAAGCTCCAAATGTTGATAGATTGTTACGTTCTCTCTCTGTTGAATTTTTTAGTGGCTACTATCGAATTCGTATATCAAAATACCGTTCTATAGTGTGGCAAAGGAATATGAAATCATGATAAAATTCAGCTTTAATATTCTCGCTTGGAGAAGTCCCAACACTGTTGTCAATTTGTTAGTCCTTATGCGCATCCGTCAGTTTTCTCATGCGGATATCGATTCATGTATCAGAATCGACAATCAGTGGTAAACCGGATTAAGAGGTACATTTTGTGATGAAATGCTTTAATAATTCTCTTTGACAAGCTCCAAACTGTTGATAGATTGTTAGTTCTCTCTCTGTTGAATTTGTTAGTGCTACTATCGATTCGTATATCAAAAATACCGTTCATGTGTGGCAAAGGATATGAATCATGATAAAATTTCTGCTTTATTAATTCTCCTTGACAAGTCCCAAACTGTTTCAATTTGTCAGTCCTTATCCAATCCGTCCAGTTTTTCAATGTGGATATCAATTCATGTATCAAAAATATCACTCTTCAATGGTAAAGGGTAGGAATCACGTAGGAATTGATTTTTTCTCTTTGAGAAGCCTCAAACTGTAAAAAATTAGTTGACATTGCTATGTTAAACACAT